TAACCTTACAAAAATTTAAAATAAGTTTACATACAATTACATTACATTCTTGTGTTGTGTAATGTTTCTTTACAAAATTTGAAATACTTTCAAAACAGCTGCGAAATATGAATAAAAAAAGGATTCTTGCTTGCATTTTAATTTTGTTTGCAGTTGAAAGCAATTCTTGCATTGTTTTACTTTTCTTTTTTAATTTAATTTTTATTTTTTAATCTCTGGATAGGGTTTGTAACGTTTGTTTGTTTGAACATTACGAACTCTGCATTAGAATTGTTTTTACAGGTTACTTATTCGGACTAGTACCCTCACAAAACATTGAAAGAAAGCTGTTTTGAACAGCATTTGAAAACAATAGTCAAGTAGTTAATACTGTTCATTCGTACAAATCATGATTTATGGAGAACAAAGTTTTGCCGTTTGCTTTGCAGGAAGACTACACCGCTAGAAATGTTCTGATAAATAACTTAATAACCTAACTGGAATTATCGGAAATTCATAAAACATTTCCGAGTTTTTGTGTCATTAGTAAAAGATCTTTGTTATTTAAACAAAACTAATTGTTCTAGTTTTCTGCTTTGTTAGCATAACCGCAAATAAATAACTAAAAATTCTTCTTTCTGTCCAGTAAGAACAGTAACACTACTAAACTGTAACGCTAACACACATAGTTACACATCAACTTGAAGAATTCTCAATTTAAAAAAAAAAACATTTTGCTAAAATCCACGCAAAAGTAATTGCTTTTTGTATTTTTATTCATTTGTTTTACTTTCTAAAAAAAAAGTATTGGCGATGACTCATTTAAACAAGTAATTACTATATTTTTCTTCAGTGTTTGAGGTGCTTTTTCTTTTTTTTTTACTTCGTTTATTTTTTGTTTTCTTTATAAAATAAACTGAAATGCATTTTTAAAAAATAAAATTTATTTTGCATGCCCACGTTCAGTCTAAGTTTAATATTTTAAGTTGCCATAAACAATTGTATTAACTTTTAAGATTTTGTTTCGCATGTTGTTAAGTCCAAAATCTTCTCTAACAACAGCAATACGTTTAAAAATAACCATATGGACATTGTTTATAAATGAGAGTTATCTGTCCTTGACCTACTTAAAAGTAGGTATGTATTTAAAACTTCTGTTAATTTCCCTACTTGAGTAAAAAGAGTATTGGTTCATTGTTAAGCTTAGTGTAAACTGCTTATCCCCAGTTTATTTAATACAAGTAGTTTTGATAAGATTCACAAGTGGAAAGCAGGAAACAAAAAAAAAATGTTGAAAAATTAAAAATCACTCTTTTCTATTTTTGTTTACTGCACAAATTTCTGATAACCTGCATGCCAAAATACATTTATATTCTTTGCATGTCAATTCTGTAATGTTTACTAAATTATTTTTTCCTGTAATTTATAGGAAAAGTAATCCATATCTGTTTTTGTCTTGATTATAACATTTGAATACTCAATTTTTAAAGTGTCACCTTTCAATATGAGATGTAAATAATACAGAAGAAAATGAAATGTAAAATATAATCTGACATGTACATTTACTTAGTCCTCACTTACAAATCTGTCACTGTTAAATCACAGAGTTTAATATGAAGCTACAAGCATCATGATGTTACCAGCAGAATAAATTTATTTCATAATTTTATTTCATATTTCTAGTGTTTATTGAATATTAAAAAGAAAAAAAAATGTTTTATTGATGTTCTCTTTTACAGAAAATAAGTAAATACATAACTATTGCATTCAAACAGTTATTTCTGTCTGTTTCTCAGATGAGCTATTGTAATTATTTACACTATATTGTTTGAGCTGTTGTCCTCATCTTTGTTGCCATATTCACAATGTTTTCATCGTTGTATGCTCCAGCCTTCATAAGGTGAATGTTGATCCTAGTAATCTATATGGAATTTTGATCACTTGAAGAAGACCAGAGCATACAATGGTTGAAATGTGAATATGGCAACAGAGATCAGGACAACAGTTCAAACAATATAAATAGTGTAAACAAACAGTTATTTGTTTCATAAAACAAGAAAAAAATCTTGATCCTTTGGACCTAGTTTTATCAATTATATAAATTCTTTCACTGCAAACACAAATTTAAAAAAAAAAAAATCAACAAAAATATTGTTTACATTATTTGCATGTGAACTATTGTCCTCATTATCGATGTTCTTATCAATGTTTCGGTTGTTGTGCCTTCTGGCCTTCATCAGGTGTATGTTGATCCCAGTAACCTACATGGAATTTTGAACAGAACCCATTATCTACTGGGGTAGATTGTTCCTGTTCCATGGGAGAATCTAGTGGATTAAAGCATTGGTTCATGAATTTGGTGATATAGTAATTGTGAATTCAATCCCTGGGATGAGCACTGTGTATTTGAATTCCATGAAACTGGGTGGGCAGTATTAAAGTACTAGACAATATATCCCTTGACATAGGCAGTTGGACAAGACCACTCTTAAATAATGGGTTCAGTTTGAAATTCCCTTTAGGTTAGCTGGATCAACATATACCTGATGATGGTCAGAGGGCACAATGCCAAAATGTTATGGTAACAAAGATGAGAATAGTCTGCATGTAAACAATAACTCCTCATGCTAGAAATTCAGATAGAAAAAAACAAACATTGCTTACATATGTCAACTTTTAAAATTTACATAAAAAAATTACAGATGAAATATTTATTAAAATATGCTTTTAAAAATGATGTAAACTAAATGTTACTGTTTATGTTGTAAATGCCATTTGTAACATGTATAAAAAGCTGATAAAAATTAGCTTTACAAGGATTTCTAAAACATTATTAGCACATGCTACATTTCTGAAGCATTTGATAAGAATCAAACTGATTCTATCAGTAATAATGTATTGAATTTCTGTCATGCAGATACCTGACAAATTAGTTTTTCAATTGCTTGGTTAATACAATCAGTGTTTGCTGTGTGTTCCATTAAATATGGTCCTATCAAATACAATAAGCTGCAACACAGACAGAATCATGCTAATGTTTTTTATCAGCTTCTAGGTTCTCTGGTATAGTTTCAGTTAATTTCACAATTTTTTTTTTTTTTTTTTTTTTTTTTTTTTTTTTTGTTATACCAGTTGATTAAATGATTAGTTGCTTCCTCCACCTTTTATTACTTCAACCTCAAATCTTATCTAACATTCACATCATTAAATGTAGTATAAATATGGGCTGAGCGGTTAGAACATTTGCTTTCTGACCATGAGGCCTGGGTTCAAATTTCACCATGGTTGACAATTTGTCAGGAAAGTAACTTCAGTAGGGGAAGGTGATCCCTGAGTGTGGCACCTTTGCATGAAAACCATAAACCATATAGATGGAACTCATTAGTAGGAATGAAATTTGGTAGATGTCAAAACAGAGTGTTTCATGGCTCTGTTCAGGAGTTCTTGAGGAATGCTCTCCCAGAAACTTCAATAAGGCAAAAATCTCTATACAAATAACAAATTTTAAGCTGTTAATGTGTTAATGACAATTGATCCTTGTTCAAAATTCAATCTCAACTTCAGTTCATTTGGATCTCTTTCAATGGCAAAAATGTTTTAAAATCATTACTTCTAACATCTCACTTCAGTTCATTTGTAATAAGAATGGTCAGATTGTGATATTAAAAATCAAATTCTTAAATTGAATTTTTTTTTTCACTTCCCTTAATCATAATCTTTCTTTGTAAAGATGACTTCCTGAAAGGGAATCCAAGTTAATAATCTATCATTACCCAATTATTCACTAATCAAAGACCATCTACTATTATGTATACATTATATAATGAACTCTGTTTTGCATGTATATGAGGCTGCAGTATAGAGGAAAATTATCTTTGTCCAGTTAGATAAATTAGAAGAACTTACAGAAATAAGCTGAAAGATTTTTATTCATTTATGGGATGTTTGGGCTAAATTTGACAGTTTTAATGTTTTTATTTTTTCAAATTGGTTTGGAATATCTAAACAGTGAATGGCATTGTGACACCTAATCACTACTGTTTCAGACGTGTCAAAGTTAACTGACATGGACAAATATTAGAAAGAGTAATTTCAGTAAAACTTGCACACATTTCACACTTTGCTTGAGTATCATTTATGAAAGAAAATTGTTTTTATTTTGTGTTTATTTGACAAAATAGGAAGTTTGGTTGCTGGTGGCAAGGAAGATTAATTTTTATGCATTGAGAAGAAATATCTTTACTTTCAAGTGTAGTGTAACTTTTTTTTTCTGACATCTTTATGCTAATGGCTGATTTGTTCATTATCAAAAATATCTTGTATTTTTCAGTGGAAAAATGGATGTATCTGCTATACATTCTAAAGAAGGTAATGATCAGTCTATAACAGAGGCAGTAGCTTCAACCTCCCATAGCAATTCTACATCTACTAATGTTACAAATGCACCAGCTACTGCTGCTACCAACAGTGAATATAATTCTGAAAGTGAATCTGATCGAGAAAAGGAAAAAGATATTGAAATCTTAGAAGTGAATGATTCTGAAGAAGATTGTCTTATTGATCTCACCACTCTCCTGCCCCATGAGAAAGAAAGCCCAACTGAAGATATTTGCATAACCCAAATTGTTCATAATAGTCCTCTGGCAGAATACATGGCGAAACGTAAGAAAAATAAAAATTCCAAGAAGAATACTAAAACCGTATCCCCAAATAGCACTAGTAAATTTCCAGATATTTCTTTGAATGATGTCGTTACCTGTGGTAAAAAATATGGTGAGACCAAAAATCAATCTTGGTCTGAAAAAAGACATTACCACGAAAAAAGTCAGTGTTGTGTGCAGGTAGATGAGAATTCGAGTCTTGGACTTGAGAATCGTAAATTGTCACCACCAATGATGGGTGAAAGGCATGCTAGTTTCTCTCTATCTCCAACTTTCAAACGAAAGATGAAACCCTTCACAGAGTGTTTTAAAGACTACAGAGCAGGCTGTTACAAGATGCCAACATATTCTGAAATTACAATGCAACCACCAGAGAAACGGAAACATTCTTCCTTCATTCAGGAACATCTTATAGTCATAGATAGCTCATCAAGTTCAGAAGAGAGTTCTCCTTGTACTTCAAGGAAAAGTAAGTATAAATGTGTAAAGCTACCAGGAAACTTTCCTTTCATAATCTTTATGGACTGCTTGTTTTGTCTCTTACAATGTACTGCTTGGCACTGAAGATTATCTACTGATCTGAAACCCCTCAATGATGATTACATGCAACAGTTACCTCCCATGTATATTTTAAAACTATTGCTAAGGTGAAGTAGAATGCATGGTTATTGAAGATTTTACAAGTTTAATCTGACTTTCTCTTTTTTTCCAATTTGAAATCTGTTCTTTCTCATAGGTGAATATTTATTTACCTGTGAGTAAGAAAACTAATTTCAAGCCATATAAATTTTATGAATTAAGCACTTGGAATCAATTTTATTTTAATACAGACTTTCTATAAAGTATACTAACTTTAGTACTAATTATTTAAATCTGCATTTAAATGCACATTTAGTTTGGGTGCTTAATCATTTAAGTTTATTATTCTCTCCTTTTGACTACATTTCAGTATTTGGAAATCTTTTTGATTTTTAACAAATTTCTAGATTATTTTTTACAGTTAGATTTTCATTATTTTGAAGAGGAATTTTTGCACGATGCAAAGAATTAAGAAATAAATGAAACTTTCATTTTGATCAGAAAAATAAAAAATTATTGATAAACTGGATATAATGCATTGCATCCTAATGCTAATTTTGTTAGCAATGTGCTACATGGAACCAAATATATAGTTCTTAATGACAATTGTCTACTTAAGAAGATGAGATGTATTTAATGTAGCAACTATGAAAGAAATGCTTGCTGGAATCAAGATTTGATTGCTTTAATCATATATTTTAATAGTGCTTTAACATTTTCTGTGACAAGACTTAGTAATTTCTATCGTGAAGTCTAGAATATCTTTCTTCTAAATACAGTTTGAAAGAGATAACAGTATATAAGAATCAAGTCTGCAAAAAAGAAGAGGACTTAATTGCATAAAATTTTTAAAAAAAATTTTTTTTTTTTTTTTTACAATTCAAGCTTGTTGAATTTATTCTCCCTGTAAAATTTGGTTCCTGCTGAATGTTGTAGTTGGCAATGTAATAATTGTTTAGTACAATGAAAATTTTTCTTTTTTATCGTTTTAGATTAATTGTATTAAGGATATAACAAGGGTATTGATGGTTTGGTTACGTCCAACAAGCTTCATCATTCATTAGGACTGTCTCAGAGTTTGGGGTTCCTGGTCACAGAGGTCAAGGTTGACCTAGGAAGACATTGGGAAGGATGTGTGGGAGTGTGGCCTTGCTTACATTATCCCACTTGACAGAGATGCTTGGAAAGAAGGAGTGAGAGCTATCCGACTGCTGCCTACCCCAGTCACTGGGAAACCCACAGCAGTATAACCAAAGCTCTGGATCTTGACTTATTATCATGAATATAGTTCCAACTTGTTAAGTAGCTGAGGAATAAGTAAGATAACTCAAGGTTACAAGAAGGATAATCATGGTTATAAGTTTGTCATTATTTCCTTGGCAACTGTACAGATGATCTCCATACTTTAGTTACACCAGTTCAGACCTTTACAGCTTGGGAATACCAAGTGTTGTAACCTTGGATGTGCAGGTAGTGTGATGGATAATGGCTTGGAATGAGAGATTGGAAAGCCAAGTTCAAATTCTAGTTGGATTGATAAGCCATAAAAAGAAATCAATCAATCAATCCGACCTTTACAATTAAGACATACCAAGCTACTTCCATGGTGTTGGATCATCCTTATTTCCTCCCTGTTCTAAATATATGAAAGTTCTACTTGAATAGTTTTTCCACTCAATAACTGCCATTTTGTGGAACTTCCATGAGCATTTCATTCAAGGAACAATTGTAATCTTTCCTCTTTTTCCTCATAATCATCACTTTCTACCATTTTCTTTTCCATTCATATCACACCTCATTCACCATTACCTTTTGATTGTTGAGTGACTCTCAAGGCTTGAATTAAATGAAATTTACTATTAAAAATTCATTGAACACAAATCCCCATTACGAGAGAACCAACAAAGATATAAAATTTAACACTTGATGAACAAAAATTTTGTTCTGATTCCAACTAAAGAAATCAAGCATTGAAAGAGAAAATTGGAGACAACCTGAATTTCCAATAATAAAATTAACTCAACAGATATAGCATTTCTAACAAGCAATTGATGGAGAAATAATTTGCAAGAAAAATTGAAAATGTCCAAGCAAGCATTAAATAAAACTTATTTCTGTTTTTTCACTAATACAGGTTATTTTAAATGTCAATAGAAAATAGTTTTTTTAAAAAAAAAGCATTTTAATACATTAGTAGGAAAAATTAAAGTTCTGTTTGTATAAAATCAGTAGTTAAAATTCACAAATGCCCTAAACTGTATGTCTAAGTTTCTTGCATAATCATAAAGAATTTGGAAAGATTGATCGTAAGATTAGTAGGTCACACTTTGGCTAGTTTTAAAACAAGGTTATTATTTTTGAACAAGGTTAACTATTCACTTGAATGCACCAGCAATGTAGTTGTGTTAATGCAGAAACAAAACTAAACCACTGATTGCATTTATACTTTTTTTCTTGTACTCTAATAATGGTCAATTAGTTTTCCCTCTCTTGTACATCAATTGCATATACACTTTTATTGTGCATGACAGATTAGTGTTAAAAAGACAGAATTTGGATTCCAAGTTTTTTCTCTGATAATAAAATACCTTGTGTCATATTAACAATTAACTTTCAAATAACTTCAGTTTATGCACAACAAATAATTCTTTTTACTTTTATTTTTTCATTTATTTAAGCCAGCAATAATTTTGTATTATATATCTGCCTCCACTTTTTTTCTTTTCTTTTTTTTTTAAAAATATGTTTCTCAGTTAAAAATGAAATGAAAGAATACAAGAAATACAGCAAACAGATTTGCATTTTGAGAACTTGGGTTAAAAAATTTTTTTTTATCTTTTCAAAACTTGTAAATTTTGAACAAAACTGTACAGTGGTCTTTTTTATTTTTTATTTTCTAATCATTTCACTCCAAGGAAGGCAATAAAGCCACTAAGATGTAAGGTGTTACTGAGTGAGAGATAATGAGAAAAGAAAACATTAAGAGAAAATGAAAGAATAGTAATTAAGAAGACAGAAGATAAAAATTGATAATTTTTGAAGATCAAAGGTGGCCGAGAAAGACGCCAGAAGAGGGAGAAGTGCAAGAGAAAAAAACTGTTAACAAAGAACTTAATTACATCTAGCCATTTCAACCATGAAATGATGAGACCTTGTCGCCAATCTAGTATTGCATCTAAGTTCATAAAATTTAGGTGCCAAAAAGGAAAGCTTGTCAGAACAATTACCATGAAAATATTTATAGAAAAGGCACAGGGAAGCTGTTACAGTGGTGAGAAAGTGACTGAAGCTTAGATGCCAAGTCAGAAAGAAAAAACGTTGCAGATTCTTCTTTGGATTCTATCAAGAATCTCTAAATACATAGAAGCAACAGACCTGATGTGACAGCAATATTCAGAGCATGGATGAATGATAGACTTATAAATATGTAAGATAGATACTGGCAAGAAAAATTGTCTAATATGAACCAAATTTCCTCGCAGCAGACTTAGCAATTGATTCAATATCTTTCCACTTCATGTCCATCAAAAACGCAAGCCTGAGAAGGTGCAAGGAGACTTTCTCTTGAAAGTTAGTATCAGCCATGCGGATGGAAGGCAAAAGTGTTCTCTCAGATGATTAAAAGAGTGGTTTTGTTTTGTTAAAATTAACAAGCCTTTCCTTGCCCCAGTTAACAACAGATTGTAAGTCATTTTGAGATCAGCTGCCAATTTTACCTTACTGAACTGGTCAGACTTACAACTATTTACTCCTGTTTTAATAGTATCATCAGCATAGATAATGAGTTGAGAACTGATGACATCGGGAAGGATGTTGATGAAAATTAGGAATAATGTAGGTCCAATGATAAAGCCCTAAGTAATATCTGCATTAATGCAAAAAGTTCTAGCAGAGTGGCTGTTCAAAAAAACCATTTTCATTTCACGATTTGATAAAGATTGAACTGGATCAAAAATTCGTCCACAAATACTGTAACCTTTGAATTTGTGAGGAAGACCGGGATGCCAAACTGTCCAGAGCTTCACCATTCTTATCTAAAGCTTGATAGACACTTTCAGCAATAATTGTTAATACATCAGCAGTTGATCTGGAGAAGCGAGAGTCGTGTTACTTATCTAACCCTAGACCCTATGAAATGAGATGCTTAACCAATTCAGAGTTGATTCGTGCCTCAAGAACTTCGCCAAAAAGAGGTCAAAGGCTGATAGAAGGATTGGGCTGTTTGTCTGAAGTTTTAAAAAACTGGAACTTAACGAGCTTTCCAACAAGCAGGAAAGCAAGAAGCAGTAAGAAATTTATTGTAAAGTTTAGAGAAAACAGGTGGTAGTTCAGGAGCACATTTTTAAGGATTATTTGCAGGGATACCATCAAGTTCACATGCTTTGTGGGGATCAAGTTTAGAGATAACAGAAACTATGGATGGAGATATATGTATATAACTCAGTAGAGATTCAGTTCTAAGTGGAAAGTCAAGCAAAGATACTCTAGATGAGTAAAGAATAGAATTGGAAGAGAATTTATGAGCAAAATATTCTGCTTGATCAAAAGATGTTAACACCTTAAATTGAGTGAAAAGCAGAGGAATAGAAAAAATGATTCCTGTAGGCTATAGCAGCTGAATAGGCAGGTGTGAACCAACGAGAAGATTGTAGTTTCACTTGGTATTTCTGAGAACGTGCAAAAGCATCTATGCTGGCTTTAACCCAAGAAGAAACCTCAATGGCACAATAGGAAGATTAAAAATAATTAAAGAGCCATTGTGAAGAAAGTCACAAACTGAATCCCAGTCAGTACCCTGAAGAAGTCTTGTGAATAGATGACTCAAAAGAAATATCAACAGACTATGGGATGATCAGGATTCCGTCTAGAGGACAGAGTTGTGATGCCTGACAGGAGCTAGGAGAGGAGGTATGGAACAAAGCAGATGAAGAAGCATGCTAATCAAAATTATTAGAGAAACAAATAGAGAAATCCACTATTTGATCGAACAATGGAAAAATTGAAATCTGAATACCAGCAACATCAGTAACATTAGAATGATTACACCTCTTGATGTGATGAGCATTAAAATTGTCAAAAACAAAAATTTTTGCAGATGAATGTAGAAAGAGAGAGAGAGAGAGAGCCATTTCTATACTGTCAGGCTAATATTACTAATATTGATAAACATGAAAAGATTGTTTCTGATTTGTTTTCCATCTTTACAAATTCTTTTTTTTTCAGAAGATTTTAGTAGGTATTTTTATTCTTTTGAATGTTAAAGTGAAGAAATTTACAAATGGTTTCATTTCTTAGTTTTTATTTCTATTTTTCAAAATTGTCTTTTTACTCTTTTTGCCTTTGTTTAGACATTTTTTAAAAAAGTTGGCTTCTTATGTTGTTCTTTTGTGCATCCTTATTTTAATAATTCTGGATATATTAATTTTTATCTAAAACTTTCTTATTTTAGCTTCAGTTCTTTTGTTTGAAACATTAGCTTCAAAACTTAAAACAGTTTTAATATATATATATATATATATATATATAATAGGAAAGAACTCGTTAGGTAAATAATCCAAAGTTCTTTAGTATTTTTGTTATTATTTTTAAAAAATAGTGCTCGATACAAAAGTAGAGCATAAATATAATTATTTATTTAAAAATATGAGATATATATATATATAACATTTTTATCTAAAAAAAAAAAAATATTTTATCAGTATATTGTTACTCATTTTAACTTGAATATTTCTTTTATTAATTCAGAGTACAAGAAAACACTCACTCGCAGGTGGGAATGGAGTGATTTTGGTTTGAAATATAGGCAGAAACGGAGTGAATACCCAGGAGTAGAATTTAGTATCATGTCATACAATCTACTTGCTCAGGACCTTTTAGAATCTCACCCTCATCTTTATGCTAACAGTAACTGGGAGGTTCTCCTATGGGAATATCGGAGAGCTCGGCTACTTGAAGAAATTGATGAACACCTACCAGATGTAAGTAAATAGCCTTCATTTTGTTACTTAAGTCTTTATATAAACAAACAGAAAAATAGAAAACCTTAGGAGAGCCTGTAATCAAACATAAATAGCACACACTCTGATCCTAGGTAAAAAAAGTGTAATGGTTGTAGAGACAAGCAAGGGGAATCATAGCATAGACACTTTTAACTAAATTTTGTATTCTTGATTTATTTTCAGGTTGATAAAAACTTGAATGTAATTGCTGTCTTTGATCTTTACCATTGTGCAATTGTGAGCAGACCATTGTTTCTGTAGCAGGTTTAATCCTTATTGTATGCATCTCCCACCCACAACTCTTGTGAAGATGATAATTGCTTTCCTAGCAAAAATGAATTGTCACAATATGAAATTGAGTGCTTATGTTGCACAATGGGTTCACACTAGATTGTCTCAGGGACACGCACACACACAGTCAAGTGGGCTCTAAATGATTTTATCAGGGCTTAGTTTTTACAAAAAAAAAAAAAATGGAGACCTCAAAACAACTATCCATTGTCAAAAAGTGGGGAAAAAGGCGATGAAACAAATGAATGAAAACTTTTGAGATCAAGTGCCACTCAGTCAGAAGGTAGGGAATTCCATTTGTGGGCCTATATAGTCGGGGTGCATTCTAGAATAGTCAGAAAGAAGCCATCAGTTTGAAAGTGACATGCTGCATGTTGGAATGTAGAGATGGGCAATAGGTGATAGTGGTTGGTGGGACTGTGGTAAAAAAAAAAAATAATGGAGGATATAGAGTCACAGACAGTTAGGGTGATAGGAAAGACAGTGAAAGTTTTTGTCTGCCATAAAAGAGAAAAGAAGTAACAGATGATACCCCAAATGTCCCTTACCTACTCAACTTCAGGCTGCTGGGTGGATCTGTGAATAAAGAACTCGGTATATTAGAAACAGGATTTATGTCTTTTCTTGCTGTGGCATTATTTCACTTTCCCTTCCTTTGTGAATGTACACAGGGCCTTTTCCAGTTTTTGTTCACACTGATGCAAATGAAGTGGTTAAGTCTGTATAAGACAGAGAGAGGGTCACAAGTGTTTGTTTACACCTACATCAAGTTCTTTCTGAAGCTGTGGTTCCTAATGTTCTCTTTGTCTTCCATTCAGCCTCGGTAAGGGGACGTGATTCAGGACTATTCTGAGTTGATTTTGATAGTTTCATGTATGCTGCTTCTGTTCATTTAGTAGGTTTCATGGCAGCAAACTAAAGAAAGACATAAACCAGAGATGAGAGAAAGTTTGATAGAGGAGGAATTGCCTTAATCTCTCTCTCTCTCTCTCTCTCTCTCTCTCTCTCTCTGGTTGTGCCTCTACTCAATCCCAATTTTGTTCTTCATCACTCTGTCTGCACCTTGTTCACCAGCTCCCTGTACCCTTTACAATCTCACGTTTATAGATCATAATCTCACTTACCCATGCTTACTTTACCATTGTAGCTAAAATGGGAGGTGGGTGAGCAGCATAATATTGTAGTCTCTGTCTGAAATTCTTGAATTTTTGTTATCATTATTTACCGTTTTGTACTGATATCCTAATCTTTGTTGTTATTATCACAACATTTCAGTTGTTGTGCTTTCCTGCCTTTAAATGCCTAAACATGGACAGCAAAACGAGAACAGTCAATTGGCATAGATTACATAAAGTTCAAAATTCTTGATGGTTACCTGGATCAATAAACACCTGAAGAAGACTGGAGATTGCAATAGCTGAAACATTGATAATAACAACAAAGAAGAGAGCATTAGTACAGATGTTAATAATAGGGTAGTTTCATGATTTAGTCAGACAACACCTATAAAGATAGGTAGATAATAAATTTTCTTTTTATTTGTTTTCTTAATCTTTTTGATAAACATTTGGTCTATGTTGTTTTGTTTTTTTTGTCCACCCTTTGCCTAATTCTTTTTCTTTTTGAATTAATCCTTGTATCATCATTTTTGAAAACATGAACTTCATTATGACTAATTGAATAATATTCTCAAATTTTTTTTTTAATTCCTTTAGTTGTACTTTTTTTTCTTTTTTTTTTCCAGCCAAAAAAAAAAAAAAAAGTTTTTATTAAAAATAAGAATATTGTTGCATATAAAATATTATATTATGCCAGATTAAGAAGAGTGACCAAAACAACATGACAAACATACACCAGACGGACAATTGTCTTATTAGGATTAATGAACAGCTCCTAAGTGCTAATATACATTTTGTTCATTTGCAGCTGGTTGAGACAATCATCAATTTCTAAATCTCATTTATTAAATTCTTTCATATATAAATCCTTTGATTAATTATTTTTTTTCTCAGATTATGTGTCTCCAGGAAGTTCAATGCAATCATTATGATGAGTTCTTAAAACCAAAATTAGAGAAACGAGGTAAATTACTTTTTAATTATTTCCTTATTATACTAAAGCATAGAATGCTTGTTTTTAATTAACATGAGATATCATGATTGATATGCTCATTTTTTTTTCTTGTGTTTCAGTATATTAGACTGAGAGTTTTTTAAGCTTAAACTTCTTGTTTGGCTGTTTATTCATTTTCTCTATTTTAGAAATATTTATTAATAAATTGTATTAAAAGCTGCATATTAACACAAACCATTTACATGCCAAGTTATCCAACTAAATTGGCAGATATTCCAGAAGTGATAAATGCCGAAAATATGTAAGAGGAGTTTACAGAGGATTAGTTTAGGATGAAAATCAGTTGAGTGAATATAAAACAAACAGGTTTTATCTAAAATTTTTAAATGAGGTTATATTAACCTTTTCCATCTTATATATTATGAGACCCCCCTCCCCCCCATCCAAACATAGCATAATCTAAACTTCCTCAAATTTGGACTTGTCTTCAAATCTGAACTTTCTGAACTTTTGTATTGACATAAATATGAAGCCTTTTATTCTTTGAGTCAGAACAGTACCCTCAATACCAAACATTGTGATTGTTCAGTTTAGAGGAGTTGTACTGTATATCCTTATTTTTATCTTCCTGTACAGATTGTAATTGTTTTTGAATAAGATATTTCATAAATTTTTAAATATTTCATAAAGTGTCTTGGCTTTCACAAATTACAATATTTGTTTAGCACAAATTTTTTCATTACTATTGGTTGTCAATTATTTTTATGTAATAAATCTACACTTTAAATAAAAACAAATAAATGTTACAAATTACCTTTTTGTATCCTAAACACTAAAACTTAATAAAAATTTTAAGCTTGCCAAAGCAGCCTTTTCTTCCTCAAATCTGAACAGTACCCTTAATATCAAACATCTCAGATGTTCAGTTTAGAGGAGTTGTACTATTTTGTTAGCCATTTCAGCTGGTCTTTTTCCAACTATGTAAAGGTGTTATCTAGTTCTTCTGATACTATCAAGGAATCACACTGGCCTTGTCAGCATTTTAGGTTTGCCAAATGAAAGCCAATATTAGAAAAAGTTGAATGAATCAGCAGAGAAAATGCAATAAGAAAAGGATATATACCACAGCATTAGACAAAAAAAAAAAGGTTCAAATTAACTGGATAACACAATCAACAAAAGTGTGAAATGTTGACCAGCATAAGCAGGAAATATACAAGAAGTAATTTTTAAATATATAAACTTTTTTATATTTAAGGAGGGTCATAAAAATAGTATTGTATCTTTTTAGTGTTTCTTCTATGACTTTGTAATCCCTGTAAGACTTATTTGATTACTGTCATCATTGCAAGAAAAATACTCATCTGATTACACTTTTTTTTTTTTTTTTATTCAATGTTTTGTAGGTTACTTTGGAATCTATTGCAAAAAATCTGGCAATCAATCTGATGGTTGTGCGACATTTTTCAAAGTGCTGAAATTTGAACTGCTGAATTTCCGTCAGGTCTTTTACCAAAAAGGTGGTATCCTTGACCGATGCAATGTTGGATTGATTGTGAGTCTAAAGCCCAAAGCCTCAGTTCCCAATCTGGATAGCAGTGAGCTCTATGTAGCCAACACACATTTACTGTTTAATCCTCGGAGAGGAGATGTAAAACTGGCTCAGCTTATCATTCTTTTTGCCGAGCTAGACAAAGTTGCCTATAAATGCCACTTGAATTCTAATACCATCATTTACCATCCAACCATTGTTTGTGGAGATTTTAACTTTGAACCGTTTTGCCATATTTATGATTTAATTGCATCCCGATATCTGCATTATGAAGGTCTGCTAATTCAGGATATGGCTGGAATGTCTAGGAGTTACTCTGGCCGTGATAATTACTTAACCAAAGATTTTTTTCCATCTTATTTGAACATTACAAATTCTTGTCAATTTGCAGAGACTGTCAAAGAACGTAATTTAAAGGAAGCTTCTAAATTGCTGAAAAAATCGTCTGTGTGTGCTGAGCAATCAAAAAATACAAAAGAAAAACTGTCCAAATCAACAGTGTCTGATAATTCTCCCAAACATTCGCCTCAGTCAAGGGAGATTTCTGTGCCCCCAGGCCTAGAGGAAATGTTAACACCAATGAGTTCAGGGGAAATTAGTCACTACTTTAATTTTGTCTCTACATATAAACATGTGATAAAGCATAAGAAACATTACAAAGTAGAGGTGACGAGTTACCATGAGTTTACTTGCGCAACTACAGACTATATATTCTACAATGTTGATAAAACATCCACACACTCCAAGAAAAATAGAGGTCGATCAGGTAACAGTTCACTCCCTGAAGGAAGATTAAAACTTTTATGTCGTTATGGACTCTTTTCTAGAGAAGATGTCAAGAAAATGAACAAACTTCCAAATGCAGAGTTTGGATCAGATCACTTTTCACTTCTTGTTCATTTTTTATTGACTTGATCTCACCCTCAACATTCTTCACTCCTTTCAGAAGAAATATCAATTTATTATTCAGCTAACATTTTATATAAAACACTGAAGGTTATCATTATTGGTATTTTGAGTAATTTTTGAAGATCTGGATTTTTATTTTATCACATGAATATGTCATGTTCATTATTCTAATTTACATTAAACATCAGTTTCTTTCTTTTTTTTAAAAAAAAAAAAAAGAATCTTGAATTTTTGTTTCAAACAAACATCAATAAATGAATATGTATATAATCTCATAGGGAAATTCACAACAACTGAAAAAGCTTATTCAAAAGAAATAATATGATTTATTTATTTGAAAATGAGGGAAAATAGAAAAGTTGAGTCAAGGAAGAAGAAAATGCGTTCAGATAAATTTCAGATAAATTCCATGTGAAAAAAAAATCTTATACCTTAATAGCAAACAACATACAACTGTGGCTCTTATAGTGTCACTCTAATTCAATTAGTTGTTCCCTCACGTTTAGAAGATTCTATGACTTATTGCAGGTTTGAATGCCATTATATTATTGTAAATTTATTTCAAAAGCAAAACACTTTATTTAAAGAAAACTATGAATCAGAAATTATAGAAAGTGGGGAGCATCTCTCATTTTTAAAGTTTGATTTGTGACTTTTAAATGGATACATTCTCCACTCATTTTTGAATCAAAGGTTGAAGGTAGCAATTTGTGTCAATTACTGCTCGTTCTTAACATGGATTGCAAGTTAACAGTAGTTTGTGCTTCCCACACTTCCTTCATATTAGCTTTTCCCAGTAAGTGCTTTAAGACACAATCACAAAATTAATTTTATCATAGTTCAAGAAAATTAAAATGGCATTTTGATTTTTCTTTGTAGAACATATTTAATACATATGTTTTCTTTTTAAATAGGAAAGAAATTTTGTCAATGGTTGCATTATTTTGATTGTGTCTGCTATGAAGAATTAGTTGTTAAGAACTATTAGTTCTCAAATTGAATAGTTTTGCCTCATTTGTTAGATTATGTTAATATGGGTACGCATTTGATACAACCATGTGCATTAAGAATTCTTTTTCAAAAACTAGTGGAACAAGGTAAAATCCCTTCATCTTCCATGAAGAAATGAGCAAAAACAAAATGTTTATACTTCTGTGCTTTACAGAAAGCATCCAAAGCAAACAGAAGAGTATACACTTAATTTTCGCTTCAACCAGTTTAGAAGGATTCAAGAAGAAAATTTGATTTTTGTATGAACTAAATTTTTAACTATCATAAATCTTACATTAAAAGTGAATCCTTTATTTTAAATTTTACTTTGTAAGTTAAAAAAATGCTACACTAGATTATGTTTGTATAGTGCTATATATGACATTGAATTTGTGATTATAAAAGAAGCAATTAAAATTTATTTCATTCACAGTTTTAAGATATAGGGCTCAAAGAAATTCTACCTGCCATCTTTGCAACTTAGGAATAGAACCTGTCTATATTTCTGAGATGAGGTATTATAGAACATGTGGCAATCCATATATATTAATAATACAGAAGCATATTATTCAATGGTGATTTAGCTATAAATTTATGTTGCAAAAACCAAAGACTTAATTTTGAAAACCATGAAGAACAATATTGCTTATGAAAAAATATTTTCCTATCATTGTTCTCTCTGCTTTTAACTCTTATACATTTCCCTATGCAGTTCTATAGAAAAAGTAACAAAGTTGCTGGTGGTGAAAAACAGGCTGCAACTATTACATTGAAAATATGGCATTACACTCTGTAACTGACCTTGTTGGCATCCAAACTCTTAACTTCTTAATCTCTCATGCAAATGGTTGACTTTTCCATGCTTCCCCAGTAACCCAAATAGTAACGCTTCCCTTCTCGATCTGTTTCATCTCCATCCCTGATTTTGTTGCACTATGCACATCTGCCCTCTTGGCAACTCTGATCATGCAGTGGTGTCTGTTAACATTTCCTTCCACTCCCCCTCCAGCCATGAACCTCCTACTAACAGAATATCTTTCTGTTATCAACGCACAGACTGGGACTTGTTCCATTACTTCCTTTGCAACATACCTTGGAATGTGGTTTTTTAATCATCTCGTGCGAAAATGTGTCTGAAGTCTCCTGGGTAAAACGTGGCATTGAGGCTTTCATCTCAGTAAGAAAATAAATCGTGCTCATCCCCTTCGTTCTCATCTGCTTACTCTGCCACTATAGCCCATAGGAATCACTTCTGTCTGGCTTTAATCAATGCTGAAGTAGTTAAGTATCTCATCTCCCATGATCTGCTCTTTGACAAGCAATATGGTTTCCGCTTTGCCTGGTCTACTGCTGATGTGCTCACTGCCATAACTGAATATGTATACCAAGGTCTTGATAATATGGTGAAGCTCAAGCTGTTGTTCTAGATATATTGAAGGCATTTGACAGGGATTGGCACGCTTGCTTTCTATGTAAGCTTCAGGGATACAGTATTACAAGATGATTATTTGATTTAAACCAATCATTCCTGTCTAACCATGAAATGAAGGTTGTCCTGAATGGGTTCTCTTCCAGTTCCTTCTATATGAACGCTGGTGTTCTTCAAGGCTCTATTCTTGGTCCAACACTGTTTCTGATTTTCATCAATGATCTTCCTGACATCATCAGTTCTCAAGTAGGCATCTACTCAGATGACACTATGATTTGTTCCTGACTCAATAGTATATCCAGTATTGCTGACAAAGTTAACCTGGCTGTTGGTCTCAAAAATGACCTCCAATCTGTGGTTAATTGGGGCTTGTCAATTTTAATGCATCCAAAATGAAACTGCTGTCATTTACTCACCATAGAGAAACGTCCCTGCCTCTTATCAGCATGGTTGATGCTCAACTCCATGAGAGCGTCTCACTGTGCCTTCTTGGTCTCGTGTTTTCACTGTGTGTGTGTGTGTGTGTGTGTTCTGTGCTAAAGCATAATTTGATTCATCTTGGATAGTCTTAAAAAAAATTGTTTATTTTTTTTTTAATCCCTTTCTGGAATGGTAATTTCTAGGGATTTTCTTTTGAGTAATTCATATATAAAGAATATATAATTTATCTCATAGCCTACCATTTTGTCTTTTTTAAGTTACAGATGACACACCAAAGAAAAAATTGTCAATTTATCTAGAGGTGAAGAAATTAGCATTTTGCAAATGGATGATAAAATAAATGTGATACATGCTTATATTTAAAAAAAAAAAAAAATCTTTACTTTTTATGGATACATTCTGAATTTAAAGTCAGTTGACTTTTGTGGCTGCATATGTATAAAAAGTAAATATACTGCAAATAATGGTTGATATGAAAATTGATTTTAAAAAAATAATAATATTTTTAAACATAACTTCAGTCCTACATAACCCAAATTGATATTTATTTTTAATATTAATATTCCATAATCTCTTTAAAATAATATTCTTAAGATATAATTCATTAGTTTATAAAACATTTTTATTTTTTTAACATTGTGCTGATATTTTTGTCCTCCTCCTCCTCCTAGTTTTCTGTCCCTCCTATTATTGATTTGTTATTAATTTCTTTATTAGCAGTTTAATGGTATGGATACCTTTATTACCAAACTTATAATTGATTGATATAGAAATATGCCTTTCTATTTGAACTAGCATTTTCATTGTGCTTGTCATACTCAAACTTTTCAGCTGTTGTATTCTCCAGCCTTCTTCAGGTGTCTACATTTTGACTTAAACCCTTTATTCAATCCATGGAGGGTAGATTGTTCCAGGCTTAAGAGATATTTTGTATTAGCTAATAATACCCACCAGTTTTGTTCCCCTTTGTGCCAATTGTTCATTTCTCTGTTTCTCTTGAGCATCATCAAATGCAGGGATTGAAATTGTGACTGTTGCAAAGCCTGATATGCTCTAATCAATTAGGACAAGTGTTAAACAAGTAACACAAAAGTGAATAGACTAATTAACTAGAGAACTGATACAAGGTATATGGAAAATGGAATCAGGGCAGCAATCCATCTTGTGGATTGAATAAAGTGTTTGGTTCAACGTCACTGAGTATGACAAACACTAGAAGAAAGTCGAAGGGTATGACATTTGAAATGGAAGTATAACAGTCATGATGAACGTGCTTGTCTAGATAAAAATGTATATCATTTTTGTTTTTAATCTCCTTTGATAAAAAGATTCTCTACTTGTTTCACTTACAAATTTTCTATAGGGTTATACACTTCAGTGTTAACCAGAATGATTGCAACTGACAGGTAATGTGAAGTGTCTAGATAGTACATCAGTTATGTTTATGAAAGAATTAAGTCTTTACCAGCTCGATCATAATTCTGATCACTTGGCTTTTTTAAACATCAATTGGTTCAATATATCCATGTGATGCAAGATAAACACTTTTTGTTTGTATGTGAGTAAGAGTGAGACACACAGTGTACTTGTAGTTATAAAAATCATCAAAAAACACTGATCCTATCAGTTCAGTTCAGTATGAAGATACAGTCAAGGAAACTGATTTCTAGTGTAAGTTTCCTGTTATGAAATTTTGTTGGTAATGATTAAATACCTAACTGGAAAATAGAAAAACTTTTTTTCTCTTCCAGATTAATCATCACTAATTTGGCATCAATGGGATCTCTAAGATGACAGATTATTTTGGCAGGGCTAAACTACAGGTTACTAAATAACCAATTTTAATTCAAACATTAATCACCTTATCCTTGATTTTTCTTTGTGTAATTATATTTTTTTTTTACTTTGCCAATGTACAAATCATATGCTTCTCACAAGTATATTAATGTCAATTTTTTTTCCTTCCAAAAGCTCAACCTGATATATTCTGGACAATTCATGTCATGTAGTTTATACATGAAAATCACTTTCTTTATTCACTGGAATCATAACTACATGCAAGCTTGTTATAATAAATACAGAAAAACAAATAAACCTGGTATGGGGTAAAAGAGTAGGGAAGCAAGTGTAGAAAATTACTATTAAAATTGGATTAGTAATTTGGCAGCTCAACTTGTATGTTATAAATAGTAATTTTGGCAAATCATTCGTCCAAAGAATATTAGACTATGAAATTGTCTCATAGGGTTGAATAAAATAGAAATTCATATTTTTTTCTTTTGAGAAACATTTTTACTTTAATTTTGATGAGCAAGAAATGATTTCTGTAAATAATTCCCACCCTGTTTGGCATGTATCATAAAATATACATAATGCATTAAAACAAGGGAGATATATATATATAAAATGTTGTAAATCTAATTTTAATAATCTTTGGCATGTATTGTAAGCTAAATTTATCAAAGAATTTTTGTTTAAGAATAGGATTTTTTTTTTTTTTTCTTATAGGGTGTTTGCAAGGTTCAGTTAGGGAGATAAAATCTAATTTCTATTTCGTTAGCTGAAAATAATAAATATTTTTTTTTTAATTTATTTTTTGTTTAAATTTTTCAATATTTTGTTTCACTTTTTAAGAAATTATTTTTATTTTGTAACATTGACAAAAATTGGTTCAAAATTTCTAAGACTGCCTTTTTCATTTTTGTTGAAGTTTTTGTTGAAAAGTTTGTTTACTTTACTTCTTTGCCTGTGATTGATTGATTATTTTTTAAATAAAGTAAAAAAAAAAAAAAAAAAATTATCTAATTTGTATTTATTTATTTATTTACCTACAACTGCCCTGAGAATAGTATTGTACAGTAAAGGATGAGATAATTTCCATTTTTTTTTTTTTTTTTTTTTTTTTTTTTAAACAAAAAAGTGATTTTCTTTAAGAAATAAATTTAACAACAAATATAAGGGTGGGGATAATGATTTGTAGCAGATTTTTTTCAAACCATTCATCCTTGGCTTATATTACAACCAAGTGTAAATACACAATGCCTTTTCAAGCCCATATTCACAAACAAGATATCTTGAAAAATCTATAAAAATCTTAATATTGTTCATTCTATATCATCATTAAAAAAAATCTTTTTCTTATGTAAACTGTAAGATTTACTAGTAAGACCCAAGGAAGCTTTTATTTAGTTCACTCCCCATTATATTTCCAGATTTAAATACAAGCCTCTTCATCTTCATTGGAAAACATTTCTTGTTTTCAAGAACTTCACAAAACGTTTTGGCTGTTGTACACTCCAGCCTTCTTCAGGTGATTGGAATTTCAAACCAAACCCTTTATTTAGTCCACCAGGGTAGATTGTTCTAGTTCTACATGCCATGCCTTTTCCAGATGTTTCAGTTATTTCCTTTAACTCAACTCTCCAAGGTTTTTGGCCAAAATGTGAATATGGCAATGAAGATGAGGATAAGAGTTTGAATAATGTAAATAATCATAATACCTCATTTCAGAGATATAAACAGGACTTCACAAAAGATAATATCTGAGAAATACCCTACCTTCTTATTTTCTGTTTTTATCATTCTATCATTCTATGGGCTTTTTTTATTTCAGGAAAGGAAAAACTCCTGTACAAAAGCAAAAAAGATTTGTGCCATTTATGAAGATGGTGCTATAGCTGATGACCAAATTGAAATGCTGATTAAAAATAATACAGGTTACACAACATGGGACATCACAGAGATCCTCCTTGTGTCTCATGATTTGTAAAACATTTGAAAACCCTGACATGTACCTCATATTTTAACAAAAAAATTACCTATTTACAAAAAGAATGAGCCACTCCAAAAGCTGGTCTGCATCCAGAGAAGGTGATTCTATGTACTGGGGTGGGGGTGTGGATTGGATGATCATTGTGAGTTATGAGCTCCTGCAAAATCAGCTGTTCAATTCAGTCAAGTACTGTTCCCAATTGGACTGATTAAACAGTAATTGATGAAAAGTGTCTAGAATTGGCCAGTAAGAAGTGTGCTGTCTTCTGTCAGGATAATGCCAGAGCTTGCATCTTTGCAGGCCTAGCAGAAATTAGTACAGCTTGACTAGGATGACCCACACATGTTTCACTCACTTGACCTTGCATGTTCAGATTACCACTTATTTTGATCTCTACAAAATTCTCTCAATGGCAAGAATTTCAATTCTCTGGAACCTTAAAAATACTCAAACCAATTCACTTCCCAGAAAGATGCCAAATTTCGGATGACTTTAATCACAAAGATAAAAGGTAGTGAAACAAAATGGTACATATGTGGTTAAATCTATAGACAAATATCTAAATATTGTCTTTGAAATTCACATAAGAAATGCTATAAACTTTAGTTCCAACTAAGTATATTGTAAAAATTTAACATTGGATTTTTTAAGTTGTTTGAAAATAGAAAAAAAACAATGCCATAGAAATAGAATCTTTAATAGATCAGTAGATAGTAAGGAAAATTTCAGTATATTTTGTTTATCATTATATAGTTTGTAATTGATGCAATTATAGGCAAACATGTTTAAATTATGAAACTTATCAAATGGCTTCTACTCATTCTTTATTTAGATTGAAAGTAACTCCTATAGAAATGGTCAGTTGCTTTTCTCATGAATAGCTGCATGCAAGTTTCTCCTCAAAAAATACTGTCAATGTTTTAACAAAGTGTACTAAAAGTTTATTCTAAATTGCTTATCTCCTAATATATATTATGTTTGTGTGTGCACACATTGACTAATATAGGGCACAGCAGAAAACCACCCACATGATGGTAGGACATTAGCTAAATGAAGACACTATTTCCAGTAATGTCTTATTGTTATGTGGGAGGTATTTCTGCTGCACCCTGTTTAAAAGATAAATTAGAAATAATCGTTTTTGTAAGACAAGTGATCTATAACAACAAAGTTCATGAAATAGCAACTTAAAAGAAGACTATTAGTAAAGTTTTATTTCCTTTTCATGTTGAGTTTGTAATTGAAATGCGTAGGAAATGTCTTCTCTTTGGATCCATTCAGTGAGTTACTCCAAAAATATTTTTCTTGTTTGGATCTATAAAGATGGGAGAAAGTGATTCTGAAACAAAAAGCACAAAAGAACAAAAAACAACTAAACGTCTCATAGGTTTGAATAAGTATTTGTTTAACAGCATAGCAGTTCCTTATGTGTCATTTAATGCTGAAATTTAATTTTCTTGGTAGTGCGAGTAATTTTTTTCTTTTTACAAAAATCTGTTGCTGGTAATTTTTTTTTTTTTTTTTAATCTATACTTTTAGTTTTTTTTACTCCAGTTGGGTGGGGAGATTCACTATTTGCTCATAGCTGGGACCCTAAATTCTGCTACCACCTGAAGTCAGAGTGGATCTAAGAACAACAGTTATTAAGAGGTGGTTCCATATTCCTCAAAACCTGATTAGAGGTCTTGCCACTGAATGTAATTTATTGACATACCCAGGATTCAAAACCAGTTGGGTATAGGGCTAGCAACTTGACCCTGTAATAACCTATTGGCCACAAAAACCAGAGCAGCAGCAACACAACATATTGAGTTCTGTGTCTACATGCTTCTCAGTGGAGTCTACTGGATTTGAATTGTATTCATGAAACTTGAAGAAAGAAGTTTTATTGTGCTCAGATTAAAATAAATAAACCTTGTCTCTAACTGTTCTTTATTTTACATCCAACGTCCCGAATAAAGTGACAATACTTAGACATAATTGCTGTATATACTTGTGCATAAGCTGACTTTGTGACCCCTGAATTCTTTTCATGAATTTTAACCTCTCCAGAAAAAAAAACCTGTTTATACTTTAACTGGTTACTGAAAATGCATGATTTTTTACCTTTTAAAAAAAATCACCTGTGTATAAGGTGATCCCTTAATTTTTTGTGCAAAAAACTGATCATAAAAATTTGCACTATACTCAAGTAAAATGAAAAATTACAAAATTATAGAGTTCATATTAAGTTTTCTAATTAATATTTCTTCAGCTATATACTATAACTTATTAGCTTCATTCAAAAGCTCCGGCACAATATTAGGGAAATCTTAGAAGTGCCTTTGAAGTTTATTCAGCTATTATTTGTTTAGTCAACTGTAGAATATTGTTTTGCAGGCAAAAATTAGTAAAATGGCTTCTGCATAAGTAAATGTACATAGTTCTGTGTTTAAATATTTATCTTTTTCAAACAAAAAAAAAAAAAAATTCATGACTGGTGATAAAAATGGGTTTATTACTTAATTAAAATGGATTTATTAATTATTAATAATCATTATTAATTATTATTGAAGACAATTGAGGTTAGATTTACTACAATCTTGAGTAATTCAGTCTATGTTTCATAGACTACACAAAAGCATTTGATAAGGTACAACAATTTACTATGAACAAAGTATTGTATTATTTCAAACTATTCTTTTCATCTTGGTTGATATAAATGTTGTTATAGACACAATGTTTGACCAAGTATCCTTTAGTAATCATCGGTTGTCTATTGATTGGCTGATATGGGATATCTGGTGATCATTGTGGTATTTTGCTTCTGTTGAATTTGGGTCTCGCTAACAGATCCAAGGATTGAACTCATGGCCACTAGATGACTAACACATGTATAACCAACTTCCATATCCCAGATGCTACCATCCTAAAAGAAATTTGTGTGTTTTTGGAGCCTTTTATATTCAATGTCAGATGGTTTTTGACATTTGGTTATGATTGCAGGCTTGTACCACTTTCTCACATTTTAGTATTTCGTTTTTGAGATGAATAATTATCATTTTTGTATTATTTTGAACTATTGTTCCTATCTTGGCTGATATGGATGTTATCATAGATACAGTGTTTCAACAAAATATCCTTTGATTATCATCAGGTGTCTATTAACAAGATACACAGATGATATGTGTTAATGGCAGGTGAAGAAAGGAAACTGCAGCAACTCCGAGACAAGGTAATAAAGGAAAGAGAGAGGAAAGGACTAACAGCAACTTGTCACCAAGAGGAACAGCTACAAATTGAGAATGTCAAAATTAGTATGTATAGAAACTCAACTATCTGGCAAGTGTTTTAACAGACAATGGAAAATGTGGCACTGAAATCTGAAGGCACAATAAAATAGTGAAAATTGCCTTCCAAAAACTAAAAAAATATTAAGAAACAGAAACATTCATTAGAAACAAAGTAAAGAGTGCTGAACTGCTATTCAATATCAATCCTCCTATATGTCACTGAATACAGAACAGTTTCTTCACAGATGAAGAAAAGACTTGAGGTAATAAAGATATGGTTCTACAGAAAGATGCTGAGAATACCCTGGGTGGAACATATGAGCAATGTGTAAGTTTTAAGGAAAATGGAAACAAAATGTGTACTTGTACTTTGAATCAGTGGTAGTTAAAAATCTTTGGATACATAATGAAGAAAGGGGGCTTGGAGAATTTGACACTCAGGACATTAAAGGCAAGAGAGGCAGAAAGAAACAGTGAGTAACATACTTAATGAGCTTGTGTAAATAGCAGAACAAGGAGTATATAACAAGATGCTGGCCTTGGTTCAGTGTTTCATTAGAAAAAAAGGAAAAGAGTGTTGATCTGCTATGTAATACCATTCATCCTATATAGCAGTGAATGCTAGACAATTTCCCCACACAGGAGATTTGAGGCCAGAGAAATGTGGTTCTACAAAAGAATATTGAGAATGGCATAGATGTGAACCACTGGGGAGTCATTTCCACAAAGCAACAGTTCTGTGGAAGAAGCTGTCATAATGGTTAACCATAAACTTGAACAGGTTATAAAGGTTTAAAGAAAATGGAAACAAAAAACACACTTGTACTTAGAGCTGAAGTTTTTGGATACTTAATGAAAAAAGGGGTCTTGAAGAATTAGCTATGCACAGGACATTGAAAGTAAGTGAAAAACAGCAAATAATCTAAGTTTGTGTAAATAGAGATCAGGGAGTGGGAAGGACAGTAAAAAAAGAGCTATAAACAGGAACAGGAAATAGTGGAGAGCAATAATTGTTCACATCCTGGAGGGACATGAAGGAATATTAAAACTATTAATTCAATATAATTTTTGTCCTATAAAACATGTAGTCAGTTGTGGATGTAAAAAGAAAATAGACTGACTTTAACATTGAATGACTCAACTAGTCAACCAATTTCATTGAATTTATTATTTTTCATATTCTATTCATTGTTACCCATTGCACTATCTTGGGCTAATGTTTTCTGCTGACATGAAAGATTGGAAAGATTATATTGAATCAATTGCTAGGAAAATTGGTCCACTTGTGTGTGTGTGTGTGTGTACATGGAGAATTAGACTTCGTGAAATTTTATTCTACAATAACACTTCAGTTCTTCATCATCATAATAACCTTGCACACATATGCACACAAAAAAATGTGAAATCTCTATATATAAAGTTGTAGCCTCTGTCTGTCTGTTTGTTATTAAACTCCTCCTAGGGTTTTGGAGATAGACCCCCATCACCATATATATTCTGAAACTGCATTACCCAGTATATTTCATTTTGATCAAAAGGGTCCCGGGGGGAGGGGGGTATTCACCTCCTCACCCCACTGAATTTTTTTTCCCTTTGATATAAATTAAATTTAAATTTAAACAAGGTAATGACTCCTATCCAAAATATAGAAGGTGAAAACCAGAAGATGGAGGTCACATCAGCAAGATTATTGAGTAATACTGAAATGCATCATTTTCCTCCACAAATTATAACAATGGTTTAAAATCAATCCTCATTTTCTTACAAAAAAATGTGATATGCAGCAAAGCATGGGTAATTCAGCTAGTATAATGCTCAATGCTTTAAAGAAAACATCAATCTAAGATTGAGCTAAAATGAATTTTAGCTCAGTCATATATATATTTTTTATATTTAATTTTGTTTAAACATATTTGAGTAGATGCTCTGTTTTTTAATTAAACAGTATTTTTTATCCAGCTACATCTATCGGCCTGAATATTCAAGAAATCTTGTCAGAAAAATATGTGTCTTCTGGCAGGATTTGAACCTGCATCCCTTATGGAGAACTGCTGTGCCTAACTGCTCAGCCATCTAAGACTTATGGTCAAACAAAGCCTGAAATACTGCTTTTGAAGACACACTCTCTTCTGATTCTCAAGACATCTATATCTGCTCTGTTTTCATATCCTAATGTAAACAAAGACAATTTATTTTTAGGAAAATGGATTAAATCCAACATATTTTTATATTTAATTTAAAAATATATTGGATTTAATCCATATATTTATTAATAAACTAAGAAAAAGGCAAAAATGTGTAAATGGTCCCAAAAGCAATATAATTTTCAGATGTTAACTAGCTCCCAACCACCAACTACTGTTTTCACTGATGCAGAAAAAATAATTAACCTATTGTGACATTATGTGACACTGGTAAAGGAAAAAGTTAATTTAAAATATGAACAGGAAGAGATGGAGAGGGTTAAAAGTACAGAATAACATATAAACTGAAAGAAGGAACAAAATGGATTCCTATCGAAAATTTATCTTGAAGAAAAGACAGATTTGAAAAGAATGACTTTATTGGTTTTGGGAAAGATATTATCAGAGGCCATGTGGAAGGCTTCAACATACAAGGTCTGAGAAGGGATAGTGAAAGTATATTCGAGATTAGTTGAGAATTTTGGAAACAATAGCAGAAATTGAGAAATTGATTTATGTCTGCTTGATTAAAGTGGAAGTTATGAAAACATGTCTCATGATTACCAGATGGAAGAAGGGGTCAATTGAGTTATAGTATTTGGTAATTTTGAAGATGAAGACAGAATTGAGAAACTGATACCTTCCTGTCAAAGAGTGGAAATAGCTTCACTGATTTTGGAAATGTAAACAAATCAAGAAATAGAATTTTAGCCTTCATTAAAAGAAATTGAAATATGAAACAGAAAGGTTCATCAGTACAATTAAGCAAAAAAAAGATGAAAACAAATTTTACTAATAGTAGGTCGGTAGGTCTGCTTAAATAAACAGGACTGAGAAAATTCATTATTGAAAATTAAGATAATTACAATTAATGATTAGAAGTA